CTTCCTCCTTTATTTTCTTCCCACTTTCATTTCAGAAGAAAACCTTCCCCTTGTACAACTCCTGAACTCACCATCATAAAGTTAACTTGATATTTTTCAATAATTAATATTTTATGATCGCTCCAGTTACAGTATCGCAATCCTGTCTGTCCTCCTTGTTTCTCAAATACTTTTAAACCCTTTTTTCTTTTTCTTTGACTCTTTTTTTTTTCCCTACCTATTGTCCTAATTTTTTTTTTTCAACGCAGTCCAAGATAGACAAAGTCATTGCAGGATTTCGGCACAGATTGGGGGCAGGGGGAGGAGGCGTGCCGGGGGAAAGGGACACATTCTGCTTCTTACCTGTCAGACTCATCAGTAGGGACTGAACATGAGTGGGGAGTAGAGGCCAGGAACACAATCCTGGGCTTTGGAAATGGGGTGATTTCAATGAGAGAACTTTGCAAGAGTAGAGGCTATTCACGTGAGTGACTGGCTAAGGCTCTCAGTGATTTCTCTCTCTATAGAGCTGTTGTTGTTGTAACTGATGTCACCATTGGGATTACAGGCATAAGCCACCATGTTCACCCTTCTTTGGCCCTTATTCCAGAAACACAGCACTGTAAATACTCATGTTAGTGTGTACATGTCCTGGCTACTAGTTTACATCTTTCTTGGGTGCAAGCCCTCTTTTTTTTTTTTTTTCTTTATTTTATTTTTGAGGGTCAGGACCTCACTCTGTTACTCACTCTGGAGTGCAGTGCTGCAATCATGGCTCACCACAGCCTCAACCTCCCGGGTTCAGGCAATCCTTCTGCCTCAGCCTCCCTAGCAGCTGAAACTACAGGCACGCACCACCATGCCCGACTAATTTTTTAATTTTTTGTAGAGATGAGGTCTTACTATGTTGCCCAGGCTGGTCTTGAACTCCTGGGCTCAAGCGATCCTCCTGCCTCAACTTCCCAAAGTGCTGGAATTACAGGCATAAGCCACCATGTTTGCCCTGCTTTGTTTTTTAATATGCTGTATTCAAACAGGGCTGGGTAAGACCTTGGTCTATGCTTAGTATGAGTGTTAACTCATATAATCCCCCGACAACAGTATATGGTAGGAATATTCTTAACTCTGTTTACAGACGAAGTGGCTGAGACCCAAAGTCACATAATACCAGGGCTTTCTGTCCCCAGGACCCAACCTTGTAACACCTGGGGGACGTGATTGGTACAAACTGGAAATGTCATGATTGGTTACACACACACAAAAGGTTCTCAGATGTTGCTCATTTTCATCTATAGCCATCAGATAATCATACTTCATTCCACAAACATTTATTAACTGTCTACTGTATACAGATGCTATCCTGAGTGCTGAGGAGTCAGACTTGCTGACTTCATCCTACAAAAGATAAATAATCAACAAACACATGCTGACAAAGGAGAACAAGAGTGAAAAGGGGTCGGGGAAGTGGCCCAGAGGATTCTGCTACAGATTCATGAGTCTTTCCAGGAGGAATCTGAGCGACGTGGGATTTGGTCCCCAGGAATGACGTGATTTTGGGATGTACTCATTTCCTGTGCTGCTGTAGCAAATGAGTACAAACCTGGGGGCTTAAAGCAACAGATATGTATTCTCTCCCAGTTCTAGAGGCCAGAAGTCTGACTCTGGTATCGGCAGGCTGAAATCAAGATGTCCCCAGGGCCACACTCCTTCCAGAGGCTCTCAGGGAGACTCTGCTCCCTGCCTCCTCCAGCTCCGGGGCTACCAGCCCTCCTCGGCTTGTGACCTACTCCAGCTTCTGCCTCCCTGGCCACATGGCATCTTCCTTTTCTGTCTGCAGCTTCCTTTTCTGTCTATGAGCACATCTCCCTCTACCTGCCTCTCATAAGCATTCCCGTCATTGTATTTAGGGTTTACCCAGATAATCCAGACACATCTCACCATCTCAAAGTCCTTAACTTATTCACATCTGCAAGGATTTTGGTGGGGTGTGGGGGGAGGTTGGCAAATAAGGTAACATTACAGGTTCTGGGGATTAGAACGGGGATACCTTTGGGGAGCCAATTTTCAGCCCACCACAGCGGGTTATTTGTGGATTTTATTTTTCAGTATAAATATAGTGACTGATTATCCAGTGTATACTTCTTTAAAAGTTTCTGTCATCTACACTGTGGGCAAAGACTTATGAAGTAGCACCCTGGGAAATTTATCCACAGTTGAAAGAAGGAATGAGCCAAGTACGGTGTCTCATGCCTATAATTCCAGCACTTTAGGAGGCTGAGGCAGGAGGTTTGCTTGAGCCCAAGAGTCTGAGACCAGCCTGGGCAACAAAGCGAGACCTCGTTTCTGAAAAAAAAAAAAAAAAATCACATAAGACCAGGCTCGGTGGCTCAGCCTGTAATCCCAGCACTTTGGGAGGCCGAGACGAGTGAATTGCCTGAGTCCGAGGATTCAAGACCAGCCCAAGCAACTTGGCAAAACGTCGTCTCTACAATAAATTAAAAAATTAGCTGGGCATGGTAGCACGTGCCTGTAGTTGGAAAGTACTTGGAAGGCTGAGGTGGAAGGATTGCTGGAGCCCAGCAGGTTGACGCTGGTGTGGCCGTGAGTATGCCACTGCACTCCAGCCTGGGTGACGGAGGGAGACTCCAACTCAAAAGAAAAAAAAGTCAAACAAAATTAGCCAGGTGTGGTGTTACATGCTTGTAGTCCCAGCTACTCAGGAGGCTGAGGCAGAAGGATCACCTGAGCCCAGAAGGTCAAGGCTGTGGTGAGTTGTGATTGTGCCACTGCACTCCAGCCTGGGTGACAGAGTGAGACTCTGACTCAAAAAAAAAAAGAAAGAAAGAAAAGAAAAGAGGCTGGGCTCAGTGGCTCAGCCGCCTATAATCCCAGCACTTTAGGAGGCCGAGGCAAGTGGATTTCCTGAGCCCACGGGTTCGAGACCCACCAGGGCAACTTGGTGAGCCCTTGTCTCTACAATAAATCAAAAATTAGCCAGTGTGGTAGTGCACGCCTGTAGTTCCGGCTACTTGGGAGGCTGAGGCAGAAGGATTGCCGGAGCCCAGCAGGTTGAGGCTGGGGTGGCCAGAAGCATGCCACTGCACTCCAGTCTGGGGACAGAGTGAGACTCCAATTCAAAAAAAAAAAGAAAGAAAGAAGGAGGAAGAGATGACAGGGAGGCAGTGGCATACCCAATGATGAATGATCTCTCTACAGCATGTGTCATGGAGACAAAGGGCTGGCACTTTAAATTCTTCTGTTGCTGGCCAGTCTTTTTAAAAGCTCCAGATGTGGTGGCATGTGTCTGTAGTCCCAGTACTCGGAAGGTTGAGGTGGGAGAATCACTTCAGCTCAATTGGTTGAGTCTGTGGTGAGCCAGGATCACATCACTGCACTCCAGCCTCTGCAACAGAATAAGGCTCTGTTTCTAAATAAATAAATATTAAAATGCTGTAGATGTTAGAAAAGGAGAATGAGTTCCACACTCATTTTTAGAATTTTCAGAGGAAAGAGCAGCTCAGTGTGGTCAGTTGTATATGAGAAGAAGATTTTGTTTAGAGGAAAATAATCAGAAAAAGTCCAGCCTGAGAAGGGGCGGGGTACAGTGGCATCCACCTTCTGCCAGGAAGACCAAGGAACCACGTCTTTGAAGGGCAGGACAGAGCCCATGAATTGTCACTGAGATTGTCCCAGCCACGGGAAAGGCAGAATGGGAGCAATTTAGTGCAGGTGAAGCTTGTGCAAGGACTCAGGCTGTGACATCCCCCAGGGTCAGAATCGAGAAACACAATAGGTCAGCCACATTACCCAGAAGTCCTGTAATACCTGAGAAACTGAGTTCCCGGCAAGGAATCCTCTCAGCCTCTGTTCACCTGCTGCCATGCATGGGATGTTCCCTGTGAGGTTTCCATATCCTCCGGAGAAGGTGACGGGTTAGGAAATGGCACCCGTCCTTTCTCCAGCATTCTCTCCAGCCTGTGTGTTCCTCCTCCATAAAATGGGTGAAATACACAACCCTCAGGGTTAGTATTTCAGGGGGGTCTGGCACAGAGGCAAGTGTCAGTGAATGTTCCTGTTTGTTTGCTTTTGTTTCAATAGCTTTAGCGGGTACAAATAGTTTTTGGCCACATGGTTGCATTGGATAGTGAGGAAGAAGTCTGGGGTTACGTGTACCCACACCCACCTGTGCACACAGGACCTGCTGGATGATTTTCCATCCCTCTTCCCCTTCCCACCCTCCTCCTTCTGAGTCTCCAATGTCCATTACACCATTCTCTATGCCTTTGCAAGTCCTTAATGTAGGTCCCACTTAAAGTGAGAACATGCAGTGTTTGGTTTTCTGATTCTGTGTTACTTCACTTAGGATGATGGTTTCCAATGCCATCCAAGTTGCTGCAAAAGACATTATTTCATTCTTTTTGATGGCTGAGTAGTATTCCATGGGGTATATGTATCACATTTTCATTACCCACTGATCAATTGATGGGCATATAGGTTGGTTCTATATCTTTGGAATTGTGAATTGTGCTACGGTAAACATATGAGTGTGGATGTCTTTTTTGTGTAACAATCTCTGTTCCTTTGGGTAGATACCTAGCAGTGGGAATGCTGGGTCAAATGGTAGGTTGACTTTTAATCCTTTGAGAAATCTCCATACTGATTTTCAGTGTACTAATTTACACTCCCACCAACAGTGTATTAGTGTTCCTTTTTCACCACATCTGTACCAGCATCTATTTTTTTTTAATAATGGTCATTCTGGCTGGTATAATGTGGTCTCTCATGGTGATCAATGAATGTTTGAGAATGCAAATTTAGTGATTTTTAGATACATGGTATTCCTGGTAACCAGCACCCACCCTGCCCCACGTGGAAATTATCCTTTTGCCAAAAGGAGTGACTGTATTCATTTTGAGTATCTAGGGAAGAAAAAGCAAACTTAATGCCTATTAAAGTATCATTCACAATGTTCTTTCTCTTTTATACTTTATTTTCCAGATGGTAACAAAAAAATCATCCAGATGGGGTGCAGGTGCTGTAAAATGATACAAAGGTAAAGTTGAAAAAATACTTCATCTACACGGGGTTTTTGTGATGATGGCGGAGTCACTATTAAAGACCGCACGTGTATCCGGTGTATTTCTCCAACTTGGGGCACCATAAACATTGACAAATTAAGATTTGGAACCCTTTTGGTATGATTTAAGAGGACATGTGGCCTAGATTTTTATGCTTTTTTTGCTCCCTGCCCAAAGCATGTTGGGAATACCATCCGTCTCTGAGAGGGAATTTGGTTTGGGTGGAATTTACATTTCTCCAGAGAGCTTCAGTGCAAAGAACAGCTTGGGTTTCAGAGGATGCCAGAAATGGCATCACTGAAAATAAATTGCCCCAATCACATATGTGCTTTTCATTTTGTCCATATCACATTTCATAAAAATGTAGTACAAATGAACTTCAACATAAGATAAAGGAAAAAAATTAACAAATGAACTTCCTTCTTTAACAAATAAAATTCTTTTTCTATTCTAGTTTTATGCCACACCCATACATATCTAAGTTTTACTTATCATTATAATATGATGTTTGGCTTTATTCAAAAATAGTTACTATTATACATATCTTTCATGCAAAGACAGACTTCATATTTATCTTTTCTTTTCATTTTTTAAGTGATAGGGTCTCACTCTGCTGCCCAGGCTAGAGTGTAGTGGTGCCATCATCACTCACTGTAGTCTCGAACTCCTGGACTCAAGTCATCCTCCCACCTTGGCCTCACAAGTAGCTGGCGTGAGCCACTGCACCCAGCCACTATTTTTCATTTTAATGGCTGCATAATATTCCACTGAGGGAATGCACTAACAGCACTTAACCCCTTATGTCCCATTCATGAACACTTGTTTTACCTTTTTTTATTTATTTATTTTTAATCAATATTTTTTATTTTGATATTGTGGGGTACAGTTAAGGGTTAGGTATACAAATATGCTCCATTCAGGCAACCTTTTTTTATTTTAAGATTTCATGAACCATTTTGTATTTTACCTTTTCTCCCTCCTCCTCCCATCCCCACTTCTCATCTTAAGCTCTGTTTCCAGTGGTAGAACAGTTTTATACCAACCATATCCATTTGATTTATACACACTTATGTAGATTTTTAAAGTAACTAATCACAGAGATTGAATTAGCAGGAATTGAAGAAAGAAACAGAGTGTGTGGTAGAAAGTACTCATAAAAGGCTGGGCACCGTGGCTCTTGGGAGCTAGCACTTTGGGAGACCAAGGCAGGAAGACTGCTTGAGACCAGGAGTTCGAGACCAGCCTAGGCAACATGTGAGACCCTGTCTCTACAAAAAAATTTTAAAAATCAGCCAGGTGTGGTGATGCATGTCTGTAGTCCCAGTTACTCAGGAGGCTGAGATGGGAGGATCACTTGAGCCCACAGTTCAAGGCTGCAGTGAGCTATGAATGCACCACAGCACTCCAGTCTGGGATACAGAGTGAAATTCTGTTGTAAAAAGAGAGAGAGAAAGGGGGATGGGGAGAAAAGATGGAAAGGATAGAGAGGGGAGGGGAAGGCAGGGGAGGGGAGGGAGGGAGGAAGGAAGAGAAAGAGAGAAAGGAAGGAAGGAAGGAAGGAAGGAAGGAAGGAAGGAAGGAAGGAAGGAAGAAAAAGAGAAGGAAAGAGAGAAAGAAAAAGATGGGGCCAACCTGACTGATCTTCATTGTTCCCGCCCCCAGCTATCTCTTTGATCCAGTTCAAGTGCCCTCACCTGGCTATGTCAACGAAGTCAACAGCTGCAAGGTGGATGAAGACAACACCGTTAAATTAAAAGGCAAACAGAGCAGCTACGACCTTGTGCGGAGGAATGACTCTCAGAAGGAGGGCTTGAAGAGGACTGAGAGCAAAGGCAGGACAGCTGGTCCACAGGAGCCTGACTGGCCTCCACAAGGACCGTTCCCACAGGGGAACCTTGGAGGGGGACACTGTGCGGAGAAGACTGGTGGTGCCATCAATGGCATCGGCCCCACTGCCCCTCCGCAGCCCACTGGGAGTCCCAGGGCCTCCCAGGGTGACAGGGGCTCCTGGGCCAGTACTACAAGCAGTGCTCACCCAACGCAACCCTTCCTGGAAGGAGGGGACACTAGGAGGCAGGAGTGTGTCCTGCTGGCCTCAGAAGAGACCCCAGCCTTACAAAATGGAGACTCCAGAGCCCCTCCTAAGGCAGGAAGTCCTGCCTTGGAAGTACAAGACCGTGTCCTCCAGATACCAGCCCCAGATTACCCTCAGTTTGGGGACCCGGCTGTAGACAACGTTGATCATGAAGAAAAGGACTATCTTTTCGAGAACCACACTGAGGATGACCCCCCAGAGGGAATTCACCCCACGGTGGAGGAGCAAGGCTTGCATGGGCCCTTCTCCATGAAGAGAAGCTGGGATTCCTTAAATGAAGCCGTGGCCACAGAAGTTCTGAGTGTCTACTTCAGAGAGGGGGGCTCTGCTGATGCCATGCCTGAGGCTGACTCAAGAGCCAGGCCCGAGCATGCCCATGCCCCCGACGGAGACAGGGATGGGGAGATGGCAGAGGAGGACGCGGCGGTGGCAGAAGCCCTTGCAGCTTTAGAAGCTGCCACTGCAGGAGAAGATGTGGAAGAGACAGATTAGGGGAAGGGACTCATGCGGCAAGCCAGGGAGTAGCACGCTGAGTGTGTGGAGACGCGTCCGCTCCCTCGACGCACAGCCGATCGTCCTGCCAGCAGTCGCCGGCACAGGTTGACCAGTTGTTTACAGGCATCATCTGTTCTGAGTGTCACTACCTGTGCCTGCCACTCGTTAAATACTTGGAGCATCACTCTGCGTTGATGGGCTGCCATTCAGGACACCAGAGTAAAAAATCTGAGTGGGCCATTATGCCCATGTCCACAGCAAATGCAAAAATTAAGCAGCCTGATTGCCAGTTCTCAGCATTCTCCAGAGTACGTGGCACATAGGTCCATGCAAATGCTCCGAGTTCCCAATGCTTGACCCCAAGAGCACACAATCACAGAGCATTCTGAGCGACTCTGAATTCTTTACCTTGCTTTTGTGAGAGCCAAATACGGTACCCAACCCGGAAAAGGTAACCACCCCACTTAAAGTGCCTAATGTGTTCCCAGAGCATGGCTTAATAACTTCAGGGACAATCACCCAGGAATCTAATAACTAACCACTTGTTCAACAGCGAGTTCTAAGCTAAAGCAGCTTTCAGGCTGGAATCAAAGTCGCCAGTAAACAAATGGTTAGTCATTAGCTGTGACATGATTTTAAAACACCTGGACCTTACCTTTTTTACATTATTATTTTTTGATCTCCTTTGGTTTTGGGGAGGCTGGCCAAAATCATTTTGGAAACTGCTTGTGCCATACTTGGGTTTTAAGTTTCAGAACAGAAAAGCCATATATGGAATGCCATTAAAAGTCTGATTCTGATTAAAATATAATAACGTGTGTCTCTCTCTTAACTCAAAGGTGGTTCTAATTTTCCCAGGCTATCAGTAACCCTGGATTTTTTTGGTTTTGTTTTGATTTAAAGAACTAGACTTCAAAACTAAATTCAAAAAGAGATCTAGTAGGCTTGCAGAGGACGGAATTGACTCTCTCTCCCTCAAGTTCAAACTCCTTTCATCTTTTATTTTTGTAGTAATGGGGTCTTGCTATGTTGCCCAGACTATTGTTGAATTCCTAATCTCAAGTAATCCTCCCATCTTGGCCTCTCAAAGCTCTGGGATTATAGGCATGAGCCACTGTGCCTGGTCTCAAATTAAGCCTCTCAAGACCATGACTACATTACTGATCATACCTTAAAAATGAACAAGCCCTCTCTGGATTTCAGCTTTCTAATTTACAGAAACAAGGACAGCCATTCTGACATAGCCCACTGAAGAATTTAGAGGAGTTAAGGATACTAAAAACTATTTAGAAAAAAATAAATATGAAAGATGCTTTAGTCTGGTGTTTTGTAACACAGGTTCTGAAACCTGCCCTTGGCTTTATTTCTAGCTTTGCCATGTGACCTTGGGCAAGTAATGTATCCCTTCTTTCTACCCATTTCTTAAGCGAAAATAATAGTGTGTGCTTGTAAAGATTAAATGAGATTATGCAAAGGTTCAGCACAGTGCCTGGCACAGAGTAGACACTCAAAAAAATAGTCTTATTAGTTCAAAACAAATCCTTTAAAAAACATTATATCCTCACAACTAAAAACTCTAATCCTGTGAATTATTTATAATGTTATCATGTTGGTAATTATCCAACATAAAACAAGATGTCTGAGCCTTCCAGCACCTGTAAGGATGGCACCCTTACAAACGCTTAATGAACATGCATTACCCTGGGTTGGTTTGGTATTATAGTGGCAAACCCATCTCTACATGCAAAGTTGCTCAGAGCCCTTAAAAGATAAGTTATTGGCATTGTTAATTGCATTATAGATGTGTCTGCTGTTGTGTTGAGTACCAAATGTTTAATATTTCAGAGCACACATTCCTTCAATACGTTCTCAAGCGTATCAGTTGGGATTGTGTTCAGCAGCATGGGGTGAATGTCTTTTACAAATAGAGGTTTATTTACCTCTTATAAAAAAGAAGTCAGGCCTAGCGTGAATCCCAGCACTTTGGAAAGCCAAAGTAGGAGGATTGCTTGAACCCAGGAGACTGAGACCAGTCTGGACAACATAGTGAGACCTCATCACTACAAAAAAAATTTTAAAACTAGTAACACATGCTTGTAGTTCCAGCTACTTGAGAAGCTCAGGCAGAAGGATTGCTTGAGCCCAAGAGGTTGAGGCTGCTGTGAGCCATGATTGTACTCTAGCCTGGGCAACAGAGTGAGACTCCAACTAAAAAAAAAAAAAATCTGGAAGTAGCGGTCCAAGCTGGTAGGATGTTCCATGTATCAGTGCGACCCATCCTTTGATCATTTTGGATTCCTTCCCTTTGTCACTTTGTAGTCAGAAATGGCTGCTGGGTTCCAGCCATGACATTTTCATTCCACAGCAGTAAAAGAATAAAGAGCCAAAGCCCCATTCCCTCTCTGCTAAGACCTCCCAGAAGTACAGTCAGCCATCTCCATATACCTCATTGATCAGCATCTGGTCACTTGGCCACATCAAGCTGCAAGAGGAACTAGGAAAAGTTATCTTTCGGCCTGTGTGCATGGCTGTTGTGAATACATTCAGAATGCAGGTACGGAGAAGAACCAGACAGTGAGTTTTGAGGCTGTCAGTTTACAGCCTCTGCCACAGAAGAACATAAGCCTTTGGTGTAGTGGAAGGACTGGACAGCTTCCCATCCCAGCTTCCCACTGATATGTCCAAACCGGGTAAAAGAAGAAACAAGAAGGACTAAGGAAAGGCATTAGGGCAAACAGGTCTCTTTCTCTTGCCCAGAAATACACTTGTACATCTTCATATTTTTTTTTTTACATATATAGTCTATATATACTGTGTGTGTGTGTGTGTGTGTGTGTGTGTGTGTAGGGGACCAAAAAAAACCCGGAATTATTTTTTGATAGGTGGGCCCCTAGTAGTCCAGGCTTCCCCTACTAAGTGTTCTAGGAACCCATCAGCATCAGTGTGCCAGCAAGTGTTGTGAGAGGCTGCATTTGGCATCCATGAATTTTTTTTTTTTTTTGGAGATTCTTTCAACCCATTTTTCCATTTCGTGATGGGTGATTTATGAGTGCACCTGCCCACAAAGCACTGAGTTTTCAGCAATTTTTCACCAAAAATGGCATGCCCTTGTGCCCCACCCTCCTCATTCACCCGATCTCACCTCAAGCGACTTTTTTTTTTGTATCCCCAGATGAAAAAAGTCCTTAAAGGGAAATGTTTTGCCAGTGTGGAGGAGGTGAAACAAAAAATGGCAGAAGCCCTAGAAAGCATCAAAATTGATGAGTTCAAAAACTGTTTTGAGCCGTGGAAAAAAGTCTCAGTAGGTGTATTGCCATCAATCAGAGAGTACTTTGAAAGTGACTAGAGTTTAAACATAAGAATAAAGTGACTAGAGTTTAAACATAAGAATAAATACTCAATTTTTAATAAATAAATTCAAGGTTTTTGAGGGTTTCCCCCTTGTAAATAGGAAACTGGATATTTTCCCCTTGCTGTCAAAGCATATGATAGCAAACTGTAATAACTGGCAAACTAGATCTCCAAAATAATGAAGAATATTGTAGGTTTCTTGGTCAGGTGTGGTGGCTCATGCCTGTAATCTAAGCACCTTGGAAGGCAGAGTCAGGAGGATCACTTGAGCCCAGGAGTTCAAGACCAACCCAAGCAACAGAGCGAAAACTCATGTCTACACAAAATAAAAAAGTTAGCTGAGCATGGTGGCGCACCCCTGTAGTCCCAGCTACTCGGGAGGCTAAGGCAGAAGGCTCATCTGCGCCCAGGATATTGAGGCTGTGTTGAGTCATGATCATGCCACTGCACTCCAGCCTGGGGAACAGAGAGCAATCTTGACTCAAAAAGGGAAAAAAAGAAAACGACCTTCACAAGCTGGTTGAGATATTATGCAGATAGCCAAGATGTCTGAGTGCTAATTATGGGATTGTGGTATGGTATAATAAAAGTATACAAGCAGGACCATGGGGACACAGGTCTAAATGAATTTGAGAGAATAGAAATTGAATTTATTATTCAGGCCCTCCATGCTCAGACAACCCTGCTCTCATTGAGTAAGGAGGCTGTATGGTGGTCCGTGAAGGGGTGGACAGAGTAGCATTTAGGCAGCTGCTACAAGTTTGGTCTCTATCAAGAGTCCATGTTACCCTGTGAACAGAACTCCCAAGTTGAGGCAAAAACCTATGTTTGGAGCCCAGCGGTAGGGAGTTTGGCTGACCTCATTTTTTGGCCATCTTGAACTCAATCTTTAAAATCCTAGAGGAGAACAAAAGGATGTGTGTTTGTCTAACGAGACTCAGCTCTCATTGCGCTCTCGGCTTCTAGTGATGGGAAAAAAGTGCATCAGGGATTGATTCACCAGGAGCCCCTGCAGGTGTGCAAGACCTCCGGGTCTTCAGAGGCTCCCCCCACACGACGCATGCCTGGCCCTTCTCACACCTCTAGTCCCAACAAATCTGGGATGGAACCTGGTTCCCCAGTGACCTAGGGCTTAAAGTTCTTAACTTTTATGAGCCTCTGTGTTCTCATCTGTAAAATGAGGATCCTATGTCCCAGTATAGAAAGCAGACATTCTCAAGCTTCAGTGTGCCCCTGAGGCATGTGGTGTGCTTGTTTTTTTAAAAAGCAGATTTCTGGGCCTTACTTTTCAGGGATTCAGATTCAGTAGGTCTTGAGCCGGGGCCTGGCATCTTCATCATTGATGCGAGTGGTCCAGCCACACTTGGGATGTAGCAGGGATTGCTTCAGCTTTTTATTTTATTTCATTTTATATTTTATGTTATTTTATTTTATTTTTTAGAGACTGGGTCACATTCTGTCCACCAGGCTGGAGTACAGTGGTGCTATCATAACTCACTGCAGCCTCAACCTCCTGGGCTCAAACGATCCTCCTGCCTCAGCCTCCTAGCAGCTGGTACTATAGGCATGCATCACTGCACCTGGCTTGCCACACCTTTTTGATCGTGCACCAGTTATCAATTAAAAAAAAATACCACACACATCCCGAATACAATAAATGTTCTGTCTTGTTCCAATATGTTATATATTTTGTAGAGCAATACTAATATAGGGTAACAATTAACAATCAATCATAGTTTTAATATTTTTTCCCCACACCTCTGGGGTATATGAAACTGACTTTGGAAACCACTGGTTTTGAAGATCAAATGAACTAGGATGTATAAAAATACTTTGTAAAAAATGGGGCTCATTTTTGTGTGTGTGTGTGTGTTGGAGTCTCACTCTGTCACCCAGGCTGGAATGCCATGGCACAGTCACGGCCACTGCAGCCTCAACCTGCTGGACTCAGGTGGTACTTCCACCTCAGCCTTCCAAGTAGCTGGAACTACAGATATGCGCCACCACGCCTGGCTCATTTTTTGATTTATTGTAGAGACACAGTTTTCCCAAGTTGCTCAGGCTGGTCTCGAACCCCTGAACTCAGGCAATCCCCTTGTCTCCACCTCCCAAAGTGCTGGGATTACAGGTGTGAGCCACCGTGCCCAGCCAGGGCTAATATTTTTGAAGCCACGCGTGTGAGCCATGCACTTAGAACACAAGCACACCTGCAAATGCACAGACTAATGCCACCCACCTGTGACACTTCACTGTCACCTCTACTGCCTGCCCTCTGTGCCTGGTTCACAGGAGACGGCTGCATTTACTGCTTTAAAGCATTTTGGAATAGTTAATATAGAACTAGGGTAAAATATAACCTAGAGACCACAGGGTCAGCGAAGAATTTCACTTATCTCCCTTATCAAAACTGCACATTTCAAACTAAGACAAAAGGCTGGCAGGGAACAGGC